GCATATCTTTGCTTTGCTGTCCACGTAAAAAAAAAAAAAAAATTTTTTTTTTCTCTTTCTGTTCTCCACTTTATCGTCCAGAGAGCTGGGTAGTTCCCAAAGGAAGAGTGCTTTACAGAATGTAAGGGTGATTTATAGGCAAAGGCAGAAAATGATTAGTTTTAACCTTCCAGTTCCATACCCCCAAAATGAACATAAACTTTCGTGGTAGTCATTACTGGAAATGCAGATAATTTTAATTCCGTTGCATTTTTCAGAATTATCAGTCATAACCCTCTGTCAGCTGTTGAAGATTCCTATCTTTTTAAGTTACCAGCATTAAAATATTTGTAAGTATTGCAACAATCTCATGGCTCATGAGATGATTTCTGATCTTTTTTGTTGTCATCAAAAGATTAAGTATTTTGCGTTTTGGTTAAAAGGTCGTAATTTAAGTTTTAACTGGGTTATTGAAATAAGCATTATTAGCAACGAAAAAACGTATATGGGCAAGATAGCCTGCAGAGGAAGGAATAGTATTGAAGAACACATAACAGACATGGGACTTGTAGGTAGAAATACCATTTATCTCAAAGTGGAAAGTGGAGTAAAGTGTATATTAAAAGAAAAAAAGACTAATCAAGAGAGGTGGATGCAATTGAGAATGAAAATGAGGATAAGAGTAAAAAGGATTGTACTGTTGAGCACCAAGGTGATTAATTTGATGATGCACATAAAATGTTTTCATTGGGAGTTTTCTGAAATTATTGTCCATAGCAAGAAAAGTCTTGAGCTGACTTGACAAAGAAGCCAGAATTGAAGTAACCACATGTTGTTAAGTATCTTTTTAGGTACAGAATTTTTATCCTTGGGTTCAAATCACGCATGTTTGGGCTTTCTCCTTCAGAGACATGGGATCAACACAGGTGTCACTTACAACAGTTGAGAGCATCCTCATGATGACCCTTGAATTGGAAACACTGTAAGTTGGTTTTTCTTATGTGTATTTTCACTTAGTTGTTGATTTAGATTTGGTTTATTGTTTTCTTAAGTCAGATTTATTGAGGTATAAAATTTACTCTTTTTAAGCGTACAGCTTGATGAGTTTCGACAAACGTGTAGTTATGTAACCACCACCACATTTGAGACGTAGACCATTTCTGTCACCCCAAAAGGCCCCTATGTGCCTTTGCAGCCAATCCCCTTTTGTCACCACCAGCCCTGGCAACCACCAACCTAATTTTTGTCCCTATGGTTTTGCCTTTTCCACAGTGTCTTATAAATGAAATCATACAAGGGGCACCTGGGTGGCTCAGGCAGTTAAGTGTCCGACTTCAGCTCAGGTCATGATCTCGCGGTTCGTGAGTTCAAGCCCTGCATCGGACTGTCCTGACGGCTCAGAGCCTGGAGTCTGCTTCGGATTCTGTGTCTCCCTGTCTCTCTACCCCTTCCCCATTTGCACTCCATCTCTCTCTCTCACTCTCTCTCTCAAAAATATATGCACATTAAAAAAATAAATAAATGAAATCATACAGTATGCAGTCTACTGTGATTGGTTCCTTTCAGCATAATCCCTTTGAGATTCATCTATGTTTTTTTTTTTTAACTTTTTTAACGTTTCTTTATTTTTGAGAAACAGAGAGCATAAGCAGGAGAGGGGCACAGAGAGAGAGAGAGAGAGAGAGAGAGAGAGAGAACCCGAAGCAGGCTCCAGGCTCTGTCAGCGCAGAGCCCAATACAGGGCATGAACCTGCGGAACATGAGATCATGGCCTGAGCCAAAGTCGGTCACTTGTCTGACTGAGCCACCCAGGCACCCCAGAGACTCATCCATGTTTTTGCACATGTCAGTAGTTCATTTCCTTTTTATTGCCGAGTAGTATTGCAGTTGTGAGGATATACCAGTTTGTTTATGCGTTCATCAGTTAATGGGCATTTGAGTTGTTTCTAGCTTTTTGGCCTTTATGAATAAAGTTGCTTAAAACACTTACATGCAGGTCTTCGTATGAGCATATGTTTTCATTGCGGGAGGGGGGAGGGGGTAAAATACCTAATGGCAGGATTGCTACATCATATG